ATATTGCTGAAAGGCAAAAATGTACTTAGTAATCAATAGTCTCACTGACATTTGGGATATTTAGGGTTAAACAAATGAGTTTAACAAGAGTGTACCATATAAGTCTGTTCATCTCCATGACCAAGTCGACCTCCTTGACCATGCCCACAAGTAAACACCTGGCCTTTCTGGGACAGGAACACAGTATGGAACTTGCATAGGACCACCTAAGGAAAAACAAGATATTACATTATAATCTTCTAAAGTTTATTATTATATTTTTATTATTATCTTTGATCTTTGATTTCATTAAATTGTTGTTCAAAGCCAAAGACAGCCACAACACTTTTCCATAACCCCATGCCAAGGCCTCTTGTACTAATAGTAAACATTATGTATACAAAGACCAGCAGACAGTGGAGAAGCAAACATCATTACTAATGCATTGCTCTACTTCAGACTTTAACTGAGCAAAGATGTTTCCCTTAGCATCACATTGATGTGGACATCTATACACTGGCATATGCAGTAGGGTGGATCATTTAATTAAAAACATGTCATTGTGGAATTAATATTTAACCTCTGGCACCTGTTAGATTAGGCCATGAACACAAAGACAACATGAAACACATATGGGTCACTGAGTGGTCAGGAAACTAAACCCATCTGACCCTAGTTTTATGAAATTTCTTTTTATTTATAAAAACACTATAATTCTTCTGTAAAAAACACAAATCATATCATAAAACAAAGAGAGAAAGCATTTATAGAGATGCACACAGCTACTCATAAAAGTAAGCTTTTAAATTGATCCAAAGGCACAATACACCTACATGACCATCTGTCTCTAATCCACTATGACTACCACCTGGTTTGTACAGTCATAGCTGAGGCCAGACCACTAGCAGCTGCAGATGTTTGGGACATAGAAAACTCCTGATCACCGATGCCAACACTGCCCTCTATATATAACACAAGGGGTCAGTGTTTAACACAATGCCCCTTACAGGCATATTATGTTTCCATTAGTTGAGCGTTGAAGTAACTAGCTTGTAGAGGTCAAGTACCTCGTTAAAACATTAATGTAGACCAATTGTGGCACCAGTTTGAACAAATAATACTTTAAAACTTTAAAGCTAACACACATTTATACTACACCCTGAAACACAATCAAATATATATATTTTTTACAAATATATATACATATGAATATATGAATAAACAAACTTGAGTGTGAACAGTACAAATGCTATGGTGCCGTGAGGACATGTTTTATAACAATTTTAAACCTCAGGGGAGGGAGTGTTTTGCTGCCTTATCTGGAGTACCCAAGTGTATTGGGAACACATGTTGGCATAGAGCTGAACCTTGTATCCAGTGTGCTTATGTGAAGCAGCCATTTGCATGTGTGGTTTGCAGAGAGGGAAACCCTATGACGTTTCCTCGATAGCCTTTAAAAACATTTCAATTGTCTCTAGGGAGAACAGATAATAACAATGTGTAGCTTACTTGCTTGATGTAAACTCCTGTCCTTGCAAACACATCTACAAGCTCAGGGTGCTGCCGGCTCTCTTGATTACCATGGCCAAGGCTGAAATTAGTGTTGTAGCCCCAAGTGTATACCTCTGTTGGGTCTGTAATAGAGGACACAGTTATAATTCTCACCAGAGAAAAAGCACAATCACACAGAATTATATTCGAATTATGTCATGATAAATTGATTTTACCACTGTTTTTAAACACCACATGTGCTGGGCGGTCCTTCATTGTCAGGTCCAATACAGATAAACCCTCTTTGTCTTGGGTGGAGAGAAGGGCACCATGCTATATATGAAAATAAATCATTACTCTTGGCCACCTGTTGGCAGTAGAGATTAGAGGAGCACCCTTTACCTTCACTAATGAGATGAGACAGTGGATTTGCCCATAGAAGGCACTGCGATGCAGTGCTGTCCAGCCAGACTCCTTATCTTTGGCTAGAAGATCTGCACTCTTACTCTCCAGCAGCCACTCCAACAGAGCCTTCTTTCCCAATGAAGCGGCCATGTGCAGGGCAGTGCGACCAAAGCTATCCCGTAGTGTGGCTGCATTGTGACAGTGAGTGGACAAGAAGGCCCCAAGCTGCCCCTCTGTGCCACTAGTTAGCGCTGCCACCACGTCATTCGCATGCTGGAGTGAGCGGCATTTCACAGTGCAGTCTGGAGATGCCATACTCATCTTGACCCACTCCACAGTCAGTCCTCCTCTCTAGTACTTCTAACAGCCCACCACACAAAAGTTCAAACAAACTCAAAAACAACAGAATGGCGGATCAAAAAAAGCAACAAAAAAAAATGGGGCTTTTCTCTGTTATTCAAAAATCTGATGCCAACTGAAGGTCAAAATGGCTGTGGAGCGCTAGAATTGTGCTTGTGTTGAGGTTCCACTGCACCCTAGCAACTCCAGATTCTTGGGGGGGACTTGTTTCAGTCCACCATTTTGACCCAGAGCTGAGCACAACACAAGGTGCTTATTATAGGTCTTGGCATCAGGAACTCAGTAATACAAAAATTATATACAAAAAATTATGTTTTAGCAAAAATACATGTTGTGCTATAATAGTACAAAAGGCAAAAATGTCATCTACCCTCTAACCTTCTGATCCAGAAGCTGAACCATTAATCCAGAGGGGAAAGGGGACCCTTCCCCCCAAAATCCACCTTCTTCTTTTTAGAACTCCATAATTGTAAAGGGTGCCTGTAAATCATAAAGATATATGATATTTTAGTTGCATAAACACAGCAATATATAGTGACACCTAAACGTCTTTATCTTGAACCGTTTTAAGCATTTGCTAGGAAACTAATATAAACTAACAAATTAACATGTTTCACATGTTTGTAGTTGTTGCTCTTTCAGTTCAGTGTAGATCTTTGACGGAGGGTCGAGCCTAAACAGTGCTGATCAGCCGAGATGGAAGCTGTTTTGAACTACAAAGTGCTGAGTGTCAACAATGAAAATTGACTTAATAAATACATATATTTATTTATTTTAACATCCAGCCATGTGGTTTGAGGAAACACAATGCTGCATGTTTACTTTGACAGGTCTGACACACAATCTCTCTAGGCAGTTGTGCGTGTTATGCAACAAGCCCAAAATTACCAAGTAAAGCTAGTAGGAAAGGCACAGTGACCTAATAATGTCGAGCAGGGGATACGATCACTATTCTAAACATTTTATGTATCTTTGCTTTATTTTCGTTTCGGTCTTACAAAGGTGAAATGCGTAAATTGTTGTAGCATTTAAAATGTCAAATTGTGGCCAGCCCAGCTTTGACTTGACTGACACGTAGGTTAGTTAGCATTAGCAACCGGCATCATTGAGTCGCTATTTGTTGCTTTTCCTTCTTCTTACCTCTCGTTAGTTAAACAGAAAACAGTCCATAGACAGAGCGACAATAACGGAATACCAAAATTCAGTCATTGCTACGAATAGGGGAAAAGATCAATTTTGAACTACAGCTAATTTTGACAGGTTTGGAAGCTGGAACCCTTAGGCTGAGTGAAAGCCGACTAAACACCGAGACTTCTGATTGGCTGAGCAAGATAGATACAACAATCTGATTGGCTGTTTGTTTCGGGCGTTCCTCTGAGCAGTTTTGTCTACACTGATGTGATATAAGAGCAGCCAATAACCAACATGTAATTATAATTTGATTTTACCATTTTGAGAAGAATTAATTTAACAAGCACACTACTGAAAACTATATGGCCCAACACTTAGATCATAGTAATTAGGTTATACGGTTTTTTTTTTTTTCCTCACTATTTTGATATAGACCTAGCTATATTTCTCCCAGTTTTTGTTTTGTTTAGTTTCAAACAAGAGCTTTGAAATGAGAGTGGAAAATCTCGGCAATATTAGGCATATTGCAGTGTAGAGAGTAGCATCATAAACTAGATACATTCAGTAAGTAAGTCTACAAGTATAATTTCACATTTTTAAATACTGTTTAATGCAACTATGTATTCTCTGTCAAAATGACTCATGGCTAAGAATAGGGAAGAATCACAGGAGGTCAGGTCTAAGCTTACACAAGGTTTCAACTTGGAGGGCTCTAAATATGACAAATTGATGATTGACTTCTCCTCAACATTCATCATTGAATAGCTCACACAGTTGAGTTTCTCAGTATCCAGTAGGTTAATCCTGCATAATCCAAGGGACTAATACTTTACATAGAAGGCCATAACAATGAGTGATGATATGAAGACTGTGGTTAAGAGCCTGGTCCTTTGTGAAAAAGGTTTGGACACCCCTGGTTTAAACTAGCATTCTTAATTTGAGGGCCATGTTGCAATGTTGGCTGATTGAACTAAAAACAGAAAGCACTCCATCTTGTAATGTAATGTGATAATACAGGATGTGCTCAACTGTGTTTTTAAAATGCAGACATCTTCACTAAAATCACTTACATGATTTCAATTCAGGAATTGCCAGTCTCTACAGAAGAAAAGGTAAAAGGGACCTTTTAACTTAAAAATCGCTTCATGACATCACAAGGTGAAACAGAGCATTTTGGAGATGTAGACAAACTAAAAATAAAAGGTAACGTGTGAATACAACAAAACACAACTCCAGGTATGTTTTTGATGAGGAAACAACATAACATTGCCTAAATCTCACAAGAATCCATTTTGCGTAATACATCATAGGGTCTAATTTTCTAAATATTACTCGTGTGTTTTAGTTGAGTAGTCTCTTAAAAATATATATAGTAATTTTCATAAACATTCATAAGGGCTTCAACTGCGAAATTAGGTTCTTACAAAGTCGCTTTTGTGTAAAATGTTAGTCTGCCACAAGTTATTCCTAAAATTCTTTGGCATAGAACTACAACACGATCTATTTAAATAACACTAATGTGTTTGTCACGAAAATAATCTGCTTTTTCGCACGGCTGGGAGAGGAGCTGGAGCCAAAATGCAGTTGAGAAAAACTACCGGGAGCTTCCCGTCCACCCCTTTTGAAGTGGAGAATGGTATGGTCCCTCCTTCCAATGGTCTGCACAGAGCTACCGTGCTTTAGTCTTTCCGTCTCGTCTCCCACCGGTTTAGAGGACGAGTAGTTGAAGTATGACTTTATAGCATCTTTGTAAAGTGTAACCTATTATCAATGATCCACAGAGTAAGTGTCTGAAACAAACTTATTATCTTTGTAACATAATTACTTTTGTCTGTTTGCTGATCGATAATAATACTGTGTGTTTTGTACTTCTTTGTGAAAGGTGTATAGAAAAAAAGCAGCAAGTTCAAGCTCTTGGAGATGTAGAGCTACGCCAAAAAGGATGATCCGGAGGTAGTTCTATGGGGTCTGCGTTTGATTTACGAAGATTTTTTTTCCTCAAGGATAAAAGTGGGAGGACGAAGCTGAAAAGTTTCGTGCTCCCTCACAAAGGAAAACACTAGCTGGTTAATTTAGCAGGCTTTACGCAGACGTGGCGCACACAGAAAATACAAAATGTGCGTTTCTTCAATGATTTGCGGACGTTACAAATGCAAAAGAATTGTGCAGAACTATGACATGGTACGACTACTTTTTTTCCTTCTCGCGGTCATCGCGTGCTGTCAAGGTTGCCCCGAGAAATGCGTGTGCTTCACGCAGACTGTAAAATGCCAAAACCAGGAATTGGATGAGATTCCACATTCATTACCGAACAACACCAAAGTCCTGTTTGTGACAGGAAACAACATTTCCCGTATCAGTGTAGACTCTTTCCCCAGTCATTTGGATCAGTTGACAGATCTGTATCTTAATGGAAATGAGCTGGAGTTTGTGGACGCTATGGCATTTGACAAGTTGCCCAGTCTTATGCGCCTGGATTTGAGCAACAACAGCATCTTAAATTTTAGCCAAAAAGCTTTTCCAGTTGATAATAAAGTGCTAGTGTTGAACCTCAGTAGGTGTTTCCACAATCATTCCTTGGCGGATCTAAGCTTTCTACAGCTGGGTAACCTGCTGCAGCTCACTGTCCTGGACCTATCCAGTAATGACCTTGTGTTTCTACCTGACAACATCTTCTCCAGCCTACCTAACCTGGAGAACCTCAGTTTACAGAACAGCTCCATCATTTCCTTACAGAATGGGACACTGAAGGTACCACCTCTTCAGGACTTGGATCTGAGAGACAACAGCCTGAGACTGCTCCCGACTTCCACTATGTCTGAATTCAGCCAAAAACCTGGTCTCCACATACGACTGTCAGGGAACCCATGGCGGTGTGACTGCTTTATTGAAGATTTCCTCTCCTGGCTGAAAAACACCTCACAGATTACTGATGTCCAGAATCTAACATGTGTGGAACCAGATGAGCTGAGACGTGTCCCTTTAATCCATATCCAAAACTCTCAGCTGAAATGTTCAGGTGACATGGAAGGCGTTCTAGAAACTTCTTATGTATTCCTGGGTCTAGTTCTGGCTTTGATTGGTGTCATATTCCTACTTGTGCTCTACCTGAACAGAAAAGGCATTAAGCGGTGGATGTATAATATTCGGGACGCTTGTAGGGACCATATGGAGGGGTACCATTACAGATATGAGATCAACTCTGACCCAAGACTTGCCAACTTGAGCATAAATTCAGATGTGTAAGGGACCAGACTCATAATCACAGACCTTTGGACCATTTTGGATTTGCATGAGTCTTCCACCCCCTGTTCCCCTCTCCCTGAAGATGACACATTTTACCAAGGTTTCTTCCTAATTAACTCAACTGCACTTCAGCACTGCCGCATGTCCTGTTATAAGCACCTGGCAGCTGTGACATTTGATTGCATTTTTTAAAAATACACGTAGCATTGCATGGACAGTGAACAATGCCCTGAAACTGACAAACTCAACGGTATGCATTATTTTTTATTCTATTGAGAAAAGCTTGGAACTCTAATGAAAGAGCATATACTGTGCTAGCCAATGCATCAATATTATCATGCCTTTGCTGCATAGACATACAGTTATATTGCTTGTTTATGAGTTTTTATGACGTCATTGTGGCTAGTGCAGATTGCATAGGTTTGGGTATTGTAAGTAATCGATGTGATTCTTTGTGTTTATTTTGTTTTTGTTTTTTAAGGCTAATTGCTAAATAAAATGTTTCTGGATTGTTGGTATCTGTCTGGTGTAAAGAGCATTTAATCTTAAGGAATGTGATCTGAAGGTTTTGATGAGGGCCACACACACACCCACTAGGTGCCCACATGCCTGCTCTCTCCCAAGGCAGCGCTAACATGAACCATATGGCATCTATTCCAGCTGACAGCGAGTTCAATAGTGTGTGAATCATGCATGCTTTAGATGTGTACTTTCAGATAAGCAAGCAATAAGTTTGTTTTCCTGAAAGCAGTGTATTAGTCAAGTTAAAGTTGAAATTATTTTTTATTAAAGACCCATGTGTGGGTTGAGAGGTGATGAGAACAGCAAATTTTTATGTCTGATGCAATTTATTACCTACTGTGATTCAAATTAAGTATTAATCCCTGTGAATTTCCCAAAATAGTGGGGGCATAAAGAGAAATAAATTAGAATTTTACCCCTCTAGTGAAGAGGTTGTAGGTTAATTCTAACAGGATGCATGTGTTGGTTGTATTTATGATTGCTCAAAATGTTTACATTAAAATTAATAGTTGTAGTGTTTGTGTAACATATTGTTACTGTATAGGGCACAGTACAAATGAAGTTCTAGCTGAAGACTGCAACCTCATAACAATCTCACTTTTTTTTTTTTTTTTTTTTCCCAGCCAAAGCCAGGGGGTATATTTAGAATCTAATATAAATTAGCATAACAAGCTACAGCATGGGGAGTTGCAAAAAAGTAAAAAGACATGTTTATTATTGTACTGTGGGATATGCAAATGAAGGCAAAGTTAACCCCAGATTCTCTCAGAGCCCTTCAAGGTATTAAGGAAATTGCTTTTTATGTAGCTAAAGTAGGCTGGCACCCTTGTTTTACAATGTGGAACTGATAATGTCTGTGACCTTATTGTCTAGTTTTGAGAATTATTATTAAAAGGGTAGTTCAATATATATTGTTCTTTGAAGTGCAATAGGTCTATAGGCTATGCTTGTTGAGTCAAATAATGCAGCATGAGATGACTGAGCATCTTCTTGACCCTTGGCTAACCGCTGAGTTTAGTAACTCTTAGACTTTACAAACAAATATCTGCAAACCTAGAGCAGTCTGGTGAAATATTTAAATTTGAGGTACGTCTTGCATAAATTCCAGTTTGACAAGAACACTATGTGCCTTTAAAGATCTTTTTTATCTTGAAGTGAAGCTTTGTCCTCTGAGTTTGATCTTAGTTTGTGGATGTGTCAGATTACTCCCAGTTAGTGATGTGTAACACCATCCATCTGGGCTGGAGCTGATGTTAATTCGTGGCTGCCTCCTGACGAACACTCTGCTCATCGCCGCTCACACCTTTAGTTTCACACCTCACAAATCTCCTGCGTGAGAAACGTTTTGTACTGAAATAGGATTCAGACTTGGAGATCAGAATAATATGGTGCCATAAAATATAAAATTAAGATACATTTTCTTTCTCAATACTGTCGTGAATAATATTTTGAAACTACATTTGTTGTTGTTATAATTACTGTATTCATGAAGTCAAACCTCTAATACAGTGTAATTAATTTTACAGTAATTATAAATCCAGTCTTTCATGCATTGAGTGAGGAAATAACTAATACTAAATAACAAATACAAAGTCTAAATTTACTATATAGCACAGAGTTTTATTTGGCAGTCATTGGAGGCCAAAGATCATCATTGAGACAATTTCAGAAGATTTTTATTAGGCTGACTTAGGTTGCGTTATTAGTACCTGTAGTACCCATTCTGCAGTTTGAGAATGCTGGTCCCACATTTATGTACTGAATGTTAAAGTCATCCACAGAAAAAAAAATCCATAATTGTGTATTTCAATTTGTTGTTGTACTTAATCCTTATTGTTCATTTGTAATTGTTGCAGATGAATCTAGACAAGTAGCAGCACTTCGCACTTGGCCCACAGAATCCCCCTGTGTGTCTCTTTCTTACCTCTCTCACTCCCAGGAGGGACTTACAGGAGCAGGCTGCTTACAACCTAATGTTTCCACAGAGACCATCACCCACCCAGTTCTGCACGTGCACATTAACAAAGTGAGTGTGCCGGGCCACGCCTTGAGCTACGCTTGGCAGGGCAGGTGTAATTGCAACGTCCAGAAAGAAAAATGTACATTAGAGAAAAAATGGTTGAAGAGGAGAAGAAGCATGGGCACCTAAGCCTGGAGGGTATGACTAAAAATTATGTTTATTAAAATGTTTTCTTCTTTGTAATTAAATTTAGGGTTTATAAAAATGATGCTGTGATTTGTAGTGGTATAGCAGATTGTGTGGAACTGCAACTTCAAAATAAAATTACTTTAAGGAGAAGAAGAAAAAAGTATTCACAAATAATTAAGCAAATTTTAAAAAATGTAGCAGTATTCATGTTCTCACAGATTTGTTAAGGATAAACAAAATCGAATCTTCAATCTTTATTTCCTAAGCTTTTCACTTTTTGACAGTATGGAGTCTTTAATTTGAACTTACATAGATAGAACTGTGTAATAATATTATATGTTCGAAATTGCCCTCAGAAAGGACGTCTGTGAAAGTAAGCATTGGCATTATCCAGCCCCACAACAGTGACACCTTATCTGGCTTGTTCAGTGTATCCTTTGTGCTTGTTAACACCAGTCCCCAAACTGTCTTCACGTCCAAACACTGGTCCAATGAGTTATGGTGCATGCTGTAGGCCCATATGGACTACATTGTTGTGAGGATAAGACTGTTCAAATAGAATAGCATACAAAGAGTAATGGAGATATTAACCCACATAATTAATAATAGTAATGATCTGTTCCTTCTCATTTTGACACATAAACATAAAAGGTATTGGGTGTCTATAAACAAAAGTACAGGAAGCTATGGGAGTTAGACCAGCGCAAAACCTTGTCTCCACTTTCTGATGTGAGGTCTCATCACATGCATAAAACTGTTATGAGATTACTGCCAAATAGTTGTTTTGATCGCTGTCCTCTTGTTACCTCGGGCCTGCTTCATGTTTTCAAGATCATTTCAAGATGCACAAAGACAGCACTGGCCAAGGACACAGTAGTAAATATGGTACTAAATTATTTACAGATTCATTTTTAACTTAAATGGTTAAAGCTGTTCCTAAGGCTCATTAAAAGCCCCCACTCTAGCAACTGAATAGCAAGCTCAAAACATATTAAAAAGGTCACTATGACGAATATCTACAGGCTTAATAGTAGTAAAATAGTCAGTTGGGACCAGGTGGCTTTGTGCCAATTTCAAAACAAAGTTAAGGCAAGTTGGTGAAGAGAGAGGGCAACTGCAGTAAATGCTGTGTCAGATTAATGGGAACATAAAAGCAGAACCTATTCTGCACTTGTCAAAAACACCAAAAATGTAATATGTTATTTATACTGATACTTAGTGATCGGTCCAGATCATAGATGGACATTGCTGACCTGCCAGCTGCTTCGTTCTAAATAGGAAGTGAGCATAGAGTTACTTTCAGGTCCAATTGAATTAACATTGAAACTGTATTCTCTCTGCTGCATTTCACCTCACCATTTTGGTCTGAAAAATCTACATGATCTGGGTGTTTTTATTTTGCTATTTTGTCCCTAAATAAATTCCTACTTGTAATATGAAACTCAGCTCCAAATTCGCTAGCCTTGTGAGCTTCATTTGACTGGAGCTGAACACTGTGGGTGATGTCACACTTCCTTAGTCCACTTATACAGTCTATGATCCAGTTGTGTGCACCATTTTAGTGATTTTGTTTGCCAGTAGGCTCCATAAAATGTTAGAAGTAAAATCTCAGCGTAAAAACTGTCAGTTGAATAGATGGTGCACAGTGACCTAAAAAGTACACATTAGTCATTCCTTTATTCTGCTCTTGTCTTCCTGACAGCCATGTTTGTCAAGGCCCATTCAATATGCCCGCGCACTTTCTGGTGTTGAAACACAGACGGGCAGGTTATCAGTTGCCAGAGCTGTAATTACATTGTTTGCTGCCTCACAACCATCTGGCACTGCCCACACCAATGACCTTTATCTTGAAAAAATTCAGATGGTAAATCTGGAAAATATTGAAAATAGAAAAACTGTGTGTGTGTCGTTATTCCGTGAGAAAACTGAGCTGTATTTAAAAGCCATTATTATCAAACAAATAAATGTGGACAGCAGACCACCAGGAAATATGAGCAGTGCATTATTGTAGCAGTAGAAAAGGCTTATACAGTGTAGTGGGAGTTTAAATGGAAGTCATAGAAGTAATTTGTTATCAAGTAAAATGGAGTAATGATGAAGTGATTGTTGTTGTCATCATTGTAGTAGTAAATCATGTGGTAGAAGTAGGAGCAGGGGTGGAAGAAGAAGTCATTGTTGTTTCTAAATTAAGTACAGATAATGGAGCAAAGTAAAATGTGAAGTTAAAATAAAATGTTAAAGTATCACATGAAAAATCAACTTAAGTAAAAGTATTAAATTACCCTTTTAAAAATGTACTTAAAAAAGTAAAAAAGTAAAAAGTATTTTTCTCAGATTTTGAGATCTAACAGTTTAATGTGATTTGTCCTGAATTTTCGTTCAAATTATGAACCTGTTAAAAATAAACCCCCAGTCTTTTCAGCAGGTCTCAAACTATATTATTATTATTATTATTATTTATTTATTTATTTTTTACTTTTACAGTTAAAATTGTAGTGGGATAGAAAGTACAAATACATTCTCTCAAATGTCCTGAAGTAAAAGTAAAAGTATCTGCTTTGAAATGTACTTAAGTAGAATAATTTACTACTTTTACTTTATATTACATTCCATCACTGAACAGGAGTAGCTGTTGCTAAAAATAAAGTTTTTATTATAAGTTTAAATTTCTGCTTTGTATCTCTGAGTTATATTAAAAATATGATTGTAAAAGTGTAATGTCTTTTTAAAATGTTTGGAGTCATTATTATTAAGTGGCAAACTCATATGAATCCATGAATTTATTGTATGTAATGTTTGGGCTAATGACACTAGTTCAAGTAAGCATTCTTCCAGTTGGTAGTTTGT